TCCCTAAATACCCAGTCTTTAACCCCAAAGACCCTATTAAATACCGATTCACATGCTGTTTCTACTTCAACCCCCTCTTCTGTCCTTGTTTCTGGTACTGATTCTACAGCCGAATGGGCTGAAGGGCGTTCAGACGAGCTACATACGACTGGTTCCGTACCCCTGGTACAGAAAACTATCAGATCCACCACAGCTCTGATAACCTCTACTGAGATTTCTACAGCAAACAGTACAACAGCCTCTATTGGGATTTCTACAGCAGACAGTACCGCAAGGGAAAAAGTTAGAAAAAGTCCATTCCATTCCCAATTTGGACATGAATTGGAAAAAAACTATGTTTTTTCTACAGCAACTTCTACAGTAAACAGTACTGTCCCCACACAAATGCCCACGGAAATAACTTGTCCAACACAGACCAATTACTTTCTACTGAATCTTCTACTGCATCACCTACTATGGATCACAACATGCCCCCAGCAGATGACTCTGATTGGATCACAGTTACTTCTAACAGAGGTAAACGCTCTTCTGCTGCCATCACTCGATCTAAACAACGCACACCCAAAGCTGTCACCTTCTCCAGTACTGCGTCTACTACTACAACTACTACTGCAGCTACTAGTACTACTGTCGCTAGTCCCACTCGTAGTCCAAGTCCATCCAGTTCTACGACACCATCTGCTGCTCCGAAGCTTACATCCTTGGCCAAGAACCCTGCCCTCCCGGCTGAAAGACAACCCCTCCAACATACTGGTCCCCTAAACAATGAAACACGATTCATGTGTGATTCCCCCCGTCCTGGGATTCAACCCCATACGTTGATTCCATTACGCATAGCTTGGAAGCTACCGGCTGGTGAGCTTCCCCATGGTATTGACACTCAAACGGTCACTCAGGAGCCTTCCCAAACCCAACCAATTGATCATCCTATTGCGAAGACCTTGCATACCTTGTTAACGGCAAATGAATATCTCCCGTCTCCATTCACACTCGTCTGGTTGCAGCTTCCTACGCTAATCCCTGTTCCATTAACAAAATGAAACAAGACTTTGAATACTCTATCAGCTCCACAGACCACCGTGTGCGCCTCACCCTATGGCTTCAGCGCCCGCTGACCCATGTTTCGACTGACAGCGTTATTTGGAACTTCAAACGCTCTCTGATGGACACTCTCCAGGAGCAGCGCATCTGGATTGTTAGACATACTGCTGTTATGAACTCAGTTCAAACTACCAAAGTTGCGTGGTTCAGTGGTAATCACCATCCTGAGGCTATCTCCCAGCCTCTCCTCCAAAAGAAACTCAATGCATTAATCCAAACCTATCTCCACAAGAATAAAAAGGAATTGGAATCTCAAGTTGCTGCTAAAACACCAGCCCTTTCCAAGTGGGATGGCACTATTCCTGAGGTCATGGTTACCACTGTGCGTCCCTTGTGGAAGGGACTAGTGAACGGTGCACAACCAATCCATCGAACCCGGGCCACTGGAGTAGTCTGCCCATCATTGCACAAGGCTCTAGTCCGCTACATTTTTGGTAAACTGAGTGATAGTTCACACCCTGCCTTCACTCGCATGGTCAACACAACCTGGGCGTTTCCGAAACACCCTATGTATCAGCACTTTGCTACTGCCATCTATGAACAACAAGCCTATCTACGATCTCATCGTATCACCGTCATTCATGCCCTTGATCCCACTGCACTTGGTCATATCAACCAACAATTACTCCAATTGCAAGGTGTAATTAGCATTCATCCAACCTACACAACTGAATCTCAAGGAGAATGGACGCTTTTGACCCATAATTTGCCTCCAGCTAGCTCTGCCCAGATTGATGGTCTCCTTCAGACTGTTCCAAAAAGCAACCCTACTAAATTTCATACCAAGCCACATACATCATCGGTCATTGGTAGCCCCTCCTCAATTCCAGGATCCATTGCCTGGCTTTCACGTTCTCCAAGCTCTGCCTCGACATCCCCTAAGTCTTCCCCTCCCAGAACCCCTCCCCCAAATGCTTGGACACAGAAGCCTACCTTTGTTACTCCTCCATCACAATCAACACCAACACTGTCTACTCTGACTCCAGACTCAGAGTGGTCTCATAAGCTTGAGGCCTTGGAAACTCAGCATAACTCCCTCCAAGCTCAGTATACCTCCATTGAAAAAGGTCACCAGGATCTCGCGACTAAGCATGATGCTCTTGAATCAGCAAACACCTCTTTGGTCAAGACTGTCAATGATCGCTTTGAACAGTTACTTTGTACCATCACTCAAGCCAACAAAACTTCTGCGACTGTCCTTGATAAATTTGAACAACAACAAAGTGTTCTCAATAACTTCTCAGACCGTCTGACCGACCAGCAGACAACACTCACCCAAGTAGTCACACAGTTCACTCGCCTTCAGAAGAAGATCGAAGAACAAGATCGTACCATTTGAGACCTTCAACGGATAGCGCATCCTATTCACGTGCAACAAGTTGCAAACCTACACAAAAATATTAAATCTGACCTGAAGACTTGGAATGCCACCAAATTTGAGCATGCGAACTTAGATACCAAACTCAAGACTGCCTTTGCCTCCATTGATGATAAAATTGACTCTTTGCACCACTCTCTAGCTGCCACCAACAAGGTCGTTGTAGCCAACCGCAAGTCCTTTTTGGCCCTGCACCAGGAGCCCAGTTTCCAACTTAATGAAGACCCCCTCCTCCGCACTCTTCAGAGTATATCCTCCACGATCATCAAGTGTCTCTGGTAAATACCCTCCTGGCCAACATGTCCCAGTTCTCACTTGGACATCCCAAACAGATGGTTTTCATTATGATTCTACCAGCGCACGTCACGTTCGAACTGCCTGCAGCAGGCCCCTCCATCGCGACCCTAAGACATGGTCTGCAATTCTGCGCTGCCTTGATCCATGGCAACTCCAACTCCTCAAGCTGGTCCAGTTTGAGACCAACTTCTCCCAAGCTTTAGAGGTACTGGCTACCGGAATACCCCTTCTCATGGTTTCAGATGGGTCTGGTAAAGATGGCTGCATGTCCTTTGGTTGGTCMCTAGCTACCACAACTGGGGATAGAATTGCTCATGCACATGGCCCATGCTTTGGCAGTGAGAGTTCGCTTCGTGCGGAAGCCACTGGATTGCTATCAGCTACCCTTTTTGTCACTATCCTTGTTTCGCATTTTCACCAATGGTACCATGAACTGAAGCCTTCCTTCCATTCCAAATATGGAATG